CTTCCCAAACATTGGACTCTGCCCATCCATTCAATCAGTCTCTCTGCAGAGCCCTCCTACATTCTGATGGATCGACACATGCTCCCAGCTTAGTATTGTCTGCAAATTCACTAGTGGAAGACTCAATACACTCATCCATGTCATCAATAAAGATATTAAACAGAACTGGCCCCAGCACGGACCCCTGAAGGGACACCACTGATGAGCAGCCACCAGCTGGATGCAGCGCCATTCACCACCACCCTCTGGGCCGGCCATCCAGCCAGTTCCTAACCCAGCACAGAGTGCTCCTGTCCAAGCTGTGGGCTGCCAGCTTTTCCAGGAGTGTGCTGTGGGAGACAGTGTCAAAGGCCTTGCTGAAGTCCAAATAGACAACATCCACAGCCTTTCCCTCATCCAGCAGGCAGGTTACCTGGCCATAAAAGGAGACCAGGTTGGTCAAACATGACCTACCCCTCCTAAACCCATGCTGTCTGGGTTTGAGAGGCCTGTAGGTTAACCTGTAGGCCTATAATTACCAGGACCCTCCTTCATATTCTGTTTATGAATGGGTGTCACATTGGCCAGCTTCCAGTCCTCTGGAACCTCACCAGTGAGCCAGGACTTTTGGTAAATGATGGAGAGCAGCTTTGCAAGCTACCCCTGGGATGGATCCCATCCCATATACAGGACTGAGTCCTGAAATGAACATATTGCTGTGATTTCTGTCCTGTCTAGTGGGGCAATTGCATATTTCTATTGTAAAATCAGCTATGATGGGAGAGACCTAGGTTTTGGAATGCTGACTGTGACATTGCCCTTTTGTCATCTCTTCTATCTGCACAATCAAGGCAACTTCTCTGATGTGAATTCCTGAAGCTTAGCTCCTGATCCTAACCTGTGAAGAACTTCATCCACTCCTCGGTCTTTACATTTCATTAACATTAATTGCTGATGTCTGATACTTGGTGGTCATTCTGCACGTCATTAACAAAATGTGATAGGATGCCATTTTGTAATATTAAAAATGGGTACAGCACTGCAATGCATGTTGCGGCCTGTTGTGGTTGTGAGCTTTATCTTTCTGTAGGCCTCTAGACCGTTTTCACTTGTCTGTCTTTTCAGTTGCAGTAAACGAAAAGCATCATCTCAGTTATCTTTCTACATAATTGCCCACATACAAACATTTACATAGCTTTATGCTTTTTCTCCAAGCTTCCCAGTGAAAAAGCCATTGTTAGGGTGTATGCTGATACATCTTTTGTTTCCACATCAGTGTTTCTGTCATTCAAACTACTGTCAGAATTTTTAGATTCTGCACTTGATACATTTAACAACAATAAAAGCAGGTTTTGAGAAGTGGAGTGATTTAATTATTTTAGGTATTTGTTATAATGAATAAGATTTTCAAGTAATGGTAGATTTTATTGGCTGCTTATTAATTTTACAGTCTAGTAATATTTCTGTAAATGGTTTTGAAATCTGGGTTTCAGTACAGGAATCTCTACAAGCAAGTATGCCATCTCTCCTTGCTTCAAAAGCACAGGAATCTGTAGGAGGCATATCACCGGCCTTTCAAAATATTTCACCTGTTAGTAGAGTACAAGGCACACCAGACACTTCTGAATTAACAAGAACTTTACCTCAGAAATACAGAAGGAAACAAATGTCAGATGAAGAGATTGAATATATTCAAGTAAGTTTTTTTTTTTTTTCCTTTAGCTAATTTCTACAGGTTCTGGTATGGTATTACATAGTAATTCTTTATAAAACTGTGCCCTGGCCTTTCATGATTTTCATATGCAATACCCAATTGTACCAATTCTTAATATGGAAGGTACCTAAATCTCACTGTATCATAGCTCGTGGTACCACTGAGTAGATTTGGACTTAGAACAGATGTGCAGTAAGCTGGTGATAGTCACAGTCTGCATTAATTGCCACCACTACCTGTTTTATAACAGCTGTTTAATGTATAATTTGACTGTGCTGGGCAGGATCACAGAAGTCTGTTCTTAGACCAGAAAAGGCTATTACCAGGTGATCAAAGTACAAATATTTCTCAAATTAGTTTTGTAAGTTATTTATTAGTAAATTAACTCTTGTATTTCTAGTAGTGGAAACACTTTATTAAACTTGATATAAATATTTTCTGCAATACTTGTAAATATGACATTGTACATGAAAGGCAAGAAAAACCTGCTTCTCTTCTGTAACAATTCTAAGTTGTAAAAACTGATGGTTGAAAAGGGAGAATGCACAAAATGCAAGGAATTTGTGAGTTTGAAATTAAAAGATGCTTGCAGCTTTGCAGCTTTGTTAAATGGTAAGGACATATATAGCATAACTATGTTAGTAGAGGAAATCTAGAAATCTTCATATATGCAAGTAGGCTGCATCTATATAGTAGAAATAAAATCAGTTATTTCCCATAGTAATACACCTCTTGACTTTTTGCATAAGTTTGTTTAACAGTGAGGTAAGTTATAAAAGAGTTTTGTTAGCAAAATAATGAACGAAATACCGTTCTGATTTCTCATGAAGATTGTAATGACTCTGCTTTGCACTTCAGAATGTGGGCAGTGAAAGTTATTTTAAAACTTGTGTCTGTTAGCATTGTGTTTGTCAGACATTTTGAAGGTTAAGAGTCAGGTTCCTTCAGAGAAAGAGATGTGGAAGCAGCTGTAACTGTAGGTAGCATGTGTTGATTTTTTTGTACTTTCCCTTGAAAAAAATGTAGCCATGACTGATGTATACTGATATTTGGCATGCTATCTGTTCTTATATAGGTAGAAAAGTCAATATTTAAATCAGAAATTAAAACTAGAACTGTGTCTCTTAGTCTATAACAGTGTAAAAGAGAATTTGATCTCAGTTTTAAGTTCTGTTCGTGGAATATATTTAACTGTATGCTTTTCTTTTACAGCGTGGAGGTCCAGAATAAATGTAGAAGATAGTTTCTTGGCCACTGTTGAAGAATGAGGTATTATATTCACAATAAAGGCATTAAATTAAAATGCCTTAATATTAAAAATTATTGTATACTAATAGCTTTAATAAAATCTCATATGATGGGTGAAAACATTGACACAACACACAACTGATTTGTTTGTGACTGAGAAGGATTTTATGTTGATGGCTAATAGCAATTGAATATATATGATGTTTGCACTATTAAAATATTTTTCTAATTAGCCATTTGAAAAGTCAACAATCTAACTGAGTCATTTACTTTTCTACTGGTTGAGATCACAAAGTCACAGAATGGATCAGGTTGGAAGGAACCACAGTGGGTCATTTTTTGTGACCACCTTGCTCAAGCAGGGTCATCCCAGAGCACGTGGCACAGGATTGTGTCCAGATGGTGTTGAATATTTCCTGTGAGGGAGACTCCACAACTTCTCTGGGTAATCTGTTCCAGTGCACGGTCATCCACAGAGTAGAGAAGTTCTTCCTCATGTCCAGGCAGAACTTCCTGCGCATCAATATCTGCCCATTGCCTCTTGTTCTACTGCTTGGTGCCACTAGGAAGAGCCTGATCCACAGTTTGAAATCCTACTGACATCAAGTAGACTATCTACTGCTCTCCCCTTACCCATCCAGGTAGTTGTTTCCTTGTAGAAGGCAATCAGATTGGTCAATCAAGATTTACCTTTAGTGAAGCCATGCTAGTATTCCTGATCATCTTCTTGTCACCCACATAGGTAGAGATGGCCTCCAGTATGAGGCATGCCACCACTTTTCCAGGAATTGAGGTTAAGACTGACTCACCTGGATGTGTCATTGAGAATGATTTTACAGGCAGGAAAAAGACACTGAAGTGCTCTAAGAGACGGCAACTATTCTTCATAGTTGCACAGCTTTGTTGGTCTTACAGACTAATCTATTAAATAACAGCAAAGCATGGGCATGTAGGGAAATCAATTTTCAAGTGAGAATTTCTGCCGTATGAGAAATTTCTCTGATGGCTATTGAATGGTAGTTATAAGTACTATATTGTAGGTTCATAATGTTCATAATGAAGAAACTGTAAAAGTACAATTAAGAATTTCCGGTATGTTATAAATGAAAATTGCGAGTCAGCCAATTTTAATAAAAATATGAAAAATAAAATTTATTTCGCGACCGTAGTAACAGTCCGATAGCCACCACCAAAAACGGGCAGCCTATCACCCCCGGACAGTGATGCGGGTGAACGTGGAACCTGTCTTCGCTAAGACCAGATTCTCCCCGTCCACACACACTGCTTCGAAGACACAGTTTTTATACTGTTTAATTTGCCCGCGGCTAGTAGTCCTTTTGTCTCTTTCTAAGTTTCACATATTCAAGTTGGTTTCTTTTCTCTGTCCAAGCTGCACAAAAACCTCGGCCGAGAGCGGAATCGCTGTCTTCCCGTGTTCCCGTAACCCAGGCATTCATGTCCAAGGTGCCAATGGCCCTCCAGATAGGCATCGCCCAGATTTCCCGGACCCGGGCATTCAGGGTTCGGGTGTTAATGGTCCCTTGATAGGCATCTTATCTGGCGCCATCCTTTGGGCGTAGGGTCGTTGGCCACTTCCCGTCTTGGCAGCTACACCCTCCTTCTCATGCAAATGTCCATCTGCCGCGGTTTTGCCGTGTGTCTCCAGGCTGGATTTCTTAACCTGAATGGAATGAGAGGAGAAACCCCCTTCCCTTCTTCCCTTCCCCGGGTTATTTCATTTATATTATTTGATACACCATTTATTCCCATGAATTACTACCCGTATTTCTAACAGGTAGAACCTAACAAAGTGCCTGAGAGCACTCTTTCTAGAGAATAATAATTTTTTTTAATTAAAAAACTATCTCTCTACGCACAGAAATTACAGAAATTTCCCTGAATGTCAGACGTGAGATCCGGGTCAAAACAGAAGCAGCTTCTGGGACGAGCTGCTGACCGCAGCAGCAGACAGCCGCAGTGGGAATCCCGCGATGCGCCTGAACTGGGGCCTATCCGTGAGGGAATGGCGCCTGCGCCTCGCCGGGGGCCGCTGCGCGCGCAGGGGCCGGGCCGGGGCCGGGCCGGAAGCGGCGGGGTTAAAGCGCCGAGCAGCGCCGCGGCCGCTCCCGGGCATCCCCGCCGCTCCCACCGCGCATCACGCCTGCTATGGATGCGCGGGCCCGCGCCAAGCGCTACGAGAAGCTCGACTTCCTTGGGGAGGGGCAGGTGAGCGGCGGCGGGGACCGGCCGCGGCCCTGGGGCTGCGGCAGCCCAGCGGGGCCCGGCCCGTGTCTCCCGCGGCGGGAGGGGGACGCGGGGGGCCCTGCTCACGGCGGCATCTCTCTCTGTCCCTAGTTCGCCACCGTTTTTAAAGCCAAGGACAAAACGAACAACCGAATCGTGGCTATTAAGAAGGTAAGTGTCAGAATGTCTTCTTAGCGTGTAACAAAGTGTCTGGTTACTCTTGACCTACCTAACGACTTCCCTTTTTTTTTTTTTTTTAATCAACTTGATGGGAAATGGCATAATATGCATTTTTATTTCTAGAGAAATTTTTTTAAATTATCTGGTTAACCTGTCCGTAATGCCCACCCACCCCAGAGGAGGGAGTGGCTTTGCTGTTGCATGGTCTGTGACTTGAATTTCTGGTTATTTGTTAGGCTTAGTCAACAAACAGACCAATACACACACATTTCTAAACTGCAAACTTTACTGTACTTTGATAGTTGATTTTTTTTTCTTTTTTTATTAAATCGTTCCTGCTGTGGTGCCCAATTTCCTTCGTTCCAGAATGTTATCCTTTATCAAGTTCCTTAAAATTTATAGAATCATAGAATATGCTAAGTTGGAAGGGACTCATCAACATAATCAAGTCCAGCTCTCATCCCTATGCAGGACAATGGAAGAATCACACCATGTGCCTGAGGCAGTTGTCTAAACACCACTTGGTGCCATGGCCACTTACCTGGGAAGCCTGTTCCAGTGCCAGCCCCACTGGATGAGAAATCCTTTCCTAATATCCAACCTAAACGTCCCCTGAATCAGCTTTGCGCTCTTATTTTAAGTCCTGTCATTTCTAGACAAATGTTTCCTGAATAATTGAATTAGCAAAGCCTTGTTTCCTGCAGCTTTGTCCATTAAGATTGGCCATCATCTCATGTTGATTCCCATTCTAATAAAAAGTGGGAAGCAGCATCTCAGTATTTTTGCCATGTCAACTGACCCTGCTTCCATTGGGCATACACCTTCCTTCTTTACCTTATATTCAAGAGGACATCCCTGTTCAGCCAAGTTGTCCTTCTGCCTTATCTGCTTGACTTGTGACATTTGGGAATTGCCTGCTCTTGTGCCATTAGGAGGTGATGCTTAAAAAGTAGCCAGCACTGATGTGCCCTGAGCAGCCTGAAGTCTGCTCCCCTCATGTCCAGGGCTGAAGTTTTGCTGGCACTTTCCTGCTGTCAAGAGGGATTTTAAACTCAGTGTCTTCATGATTGCTGGGCCAAGATGGACTCAGTTTCTACTTCACTCATGAAAACTCTATGTTGACAAGCAGCAGATCCAAGAAGGCATCTTTTTGAGTTGGCTCACTTAGGATCTTTTCCACAAAGTTGTCCACATTTTCAGGAATCTTCTGTCCCAGGCTGTACCTGTTGTGTGATGCTTCCAGTTCTTTCTGGCAAGTTGAAGTCCTCCACAAGAACAAGAGTAGTTGATTTGGAAGGAACACTTAGTTCTTTAAAGAAGAATTCATTGGCATCATTGTCCAATGGGAGGTCTGTAGCAAACTCCCACAATTGCATCCACATTATTTGTCCCTTGTTTCCTACCCAGAGGCTCTCAACTGCACCATTGCCAGCTGCAAGCTTTGTACATTCCAGCCCTTCCATTACATATGATGCCACCCCCCTGCCTCTTTTGTCCTGTGTGCGTCTCCTGAAGAGCCTGAATCTGCCCAACAGGGCACTCCAGTCTCAGGCGTGATCCCACCAGGTTTCATTTAAAGTCAATGATATCAAACCTCTGGGACTGAATCAAAGCTTTGAGCTCCTCTTGTTTGTTCCTCATACTGTATGTATTGGTAGAGAAACATTTCAGGTGTTGTACTTTGTAGCCAACACCTCATGAAGCAGATCGAGGTAGCCCATTAGAGTTCATTTCCTCAAGTTTTGACACCTTGTCCCACTGATTATCACTGTGGAGCCAGGTATTTTCCTTTTCTCCCTTCCAAGCCAGTTTAAAGCTCTGTCAATGAGCTGTGCTGGCTCCTGTGCCAGATCTCTTTTTCCACTCTGAGAAAGGTGCAACCCATCAGGTGTTGGTAGAACAGGTGTTCAGTTATTCCACTGTCAAAGAACACGAAGTTTTTCTTGTGACACCAACCTCAGAGCCACATGTCAGCCTGGTGGATCTGCCTGTTCATTATTTCTTGATACCAGAAGGATTGAGGAAATCACTATCTGTGCTCCATATCCTTCTATCAGTTGTCCTGGGGTGCTCAAGTCTCTTTGAGTGCCCTCAGTCTTTTGTTTGTTACTGTGTTGATGCCAGCTTGAACAAACAATAATGAATAGTAGTCAGAAGGTCTTACTAGACTTGAGAGTTTTCCAGTAACTTTCCTTATCCAGTATGATCATTTTTTGATAAAATATGACAAAAGTGATCTTGGATCTCCAGCGTGCTTGTTTGCATACAAATGATGAAAATATTTACATTGTCATAAAGTGTTACTATCTGAAGGGATTGCAGGAAGTTTTTGTATTAAAAATGGATCTTCAGCTGTTCTTTGTAAGGGATGAAAAATGCATTTTAGAGTGGTTTTTCTGGCTGAAGACTCAACAAGTTGAATGGTGCCAATAGTAAGTCATCTTGTTTAATGCACTGATCCCTTTAGCATTTCAATAGTTGTCTTATATGGTTGCTGGTGGTAGAGGCTGTGGTGAAGAGCATTCTTTGTTTTAGCAGAATATTTTCTTAACTTTTATCATCTGGAAATGTCAGTGGTAGGATTGAAATGTCAGGTCATTAGATAATTGAGACAAAAGGACCTAGAGTCTGCCCAAGTTTACAGCCTATGCTAATTTTACTAGAATCATTCTGAGATAACTGCCAATTACTTAGCTTTCATTTCCCCCTGAGGAGAGGCTCATTAGTGATGTAATAAAGCTTTGTGGCTACAAAGCAGTTTATACTGTCAGTTTGCATTATGTCTGTTTTTAGTGCCCTCATGGCTATTTTTTGTAAAAACTAATGCTGTAGAGACAGTTATTTTTTAATGGGGAAATAAACCCCAGTTGAAACCAACCCAGCTGGTAAAGTGCTTCATTACTCTAAAACGAATTCTGTCTTAGAGGAGCAATACTAAAAAATGTATTCCCCACCATCTTAATCTTACTTAACATGAAATATTTATTTTCAGATTAAACTGGGTCATAGATCAGAAGCTAAAGATGGTGAGTTTTCAAACAAATTCATACTGTAGAAGCTGTGCTTTATTTGCTTTGTTTATATGAATTGATACATTAATTTCCCATACCATTGGCTAAGAAAAATTGAGCTCGATGCCTGCTGTAAGGCTTAGTAGAGGTTTGCTTCACAAACTGCAGGGACGACCAAAAGCAGCACAGATACCTGCATGCACGGTATATGTTTAAATATGAGTATATAACTTCTTAATTTTAATGGAATTCAAACATTACTATAACTATAATATAATATAACTATAGAATAATAGTAATAATAATAACAACAGCACTGAGTTTAGAATACCGTTTTGTATCAATTCGTCTCTATACCTTAAGTATTCAAGATGAGTGAGAGTATTTGTGTCTTTTCAGATGTTTCCTCCGTTCTATTTTTGTGATGTGTGCAGAGGCAAAAGTGGATAAAACCAAGATCAAAACTCTTGCCTCTGTGTCCTTTTTTTTTCATGTTCAGCACTATGGAGCATGTTCTCTGACAGCCCTGTGCCTCTTAAGTGTGGATATGGCAAATTGAAACCAAGTAATCTTGGTCTGACCACCTGTGTGGTGCAGCAGAATTTTATTTGTGTGCAGGCTGCTGTCCTTCAAGACTCCTTCATCAGGTTACCAGTTTTCCAGTGAAGAGTCTTCGTTAACAACTCTCCAGTTCTTTTCTTTTAAAGAGAAACTAGAAACTGATCACTCATCCCAGAGCCTCACAACTGAGCCGGCTGCCTGAGAGTTGTGATCCTCTTGGCCCTCAGTGGCCTAATAACCCTTAGGGACAGTCATTACTTTTGGCCTTTGCAGTGTCTAGCTGTGGATGAAAGATGTTAATAAAAATAATGATCATATCTACTTTTCCTGTGTTATCTGACAACATGGCATGCTTTTTTTTAAATCTAAGACTGTGCCTACCCAAAAGCAGTCTTTGTTAATTTGATTCCAAAATAGGTAATTAAAACAGGCAAAGCAGGAATGTAAAGTAATCCATGTAGCTTGGCCCAAAACTTTGCTAGTCTTAGCATTGAATCATAAGCCCGATTTTAGGAGAACACTGTTTTTCAGCTCGTGTGCATCTGCAGCTTCCTGTATGATACACCATAGGAGCATTTGCTTGCTCGTTTTCATACAAGCCACACATACTAGCATTTTTGAAGGAGGAGTTGGTACCCTGCAGGAACCATGGTTTGATACAGTGCCATCAGTGTGACTGCTGAAGGGGCACCATGCTCCCTGCTGGTCCCTGACTTTTCCTCTATAAAATCTGCTTATGAGAAGATTCAAGCAAGAGTAAACAGGTTTTGGTCACTTTTATGCCTCATATGTGCTACAGCTGGAATGTAGAAAAACATGTGCCTTGCATTATTAGATAACAGTATGTCAAAAAGAAAAGAGATTTATTAATGAGGTTTTAGAGTGTGCCTCCCTGTGGAAGTGAGACATGTTGAGGGACTGATTGCAAAATGAAGCTTTTCTTTAAAATTAAAGCAAGCTTTCCAATACCTTGAAAAAAGGTGATTTTTTTCCCTACGACTTTCCCTTTTTGCCAAAATGTAGACATGTTGCGTCATAATCTAAGCCTGATCACTATGGTGTGAAATGGACTTGCTGTGGAAGAAAGTGTATGTCCACTTATTTTGTGGCAATTTGGTTAGTTGTGGCAATGTCCTCATTATTTAGCAAATTGACGAGTGTTAAGAATGTGATTTGAAGTAGTAAATAGTCTGTGAGTAGCAGAACAATGGGTTTATTTGGAGCTTAATCCAAAGTTTTTATTTTGTTCTTTCATCTTCTTTTCTTCTTTCCATCACTGTAGGAATCAACAGGACTGCCCTCAGGGAGATAAAACTGTTACAGGAGCTAAGCCATCCAAATATTATTGGTGTAAGTAAAATAAATGCTAATTCTAGAGTCAATCTTCAAATACTTTCAGTAATTCAACAATTATTGTGGCAGTGTGCCTATTTTAATAACAAAGGCAAAGGGTTTTTTTTTCAATCCTTTTAGTTTTTTTGTCTGTGCCTATATATATGTTAATGTTGGAAGAGTTGTGAAAATATAGATCACTTGGTTTTGCATCTCTGATAGAATTGCTAATGAAGACAGAGCTGAATTTACCTGATTGATTGCTTCATATGGAACTGGTGACAGTCAAAAAACAGGCTTTTTAAAGCAGTGGTAAAGGGGAAGTCATGTGGCTTATTAGTCATGTATAAAATAGCAGGCTTATTTTAGCACACAGATATGATGTTTAAAATCTCTTTTGGAAGGAGTAAGACTGGTATTTTTTTAGTTTCAGTTGCATTTTGGTAGACTTACAGATACCCAGCTGGAGCTAAAGACATTTTAAAGGTAGATCATAGTGATAACAGAAAGTGTCAATATGATTAACTACATGAAATATGAATTTTCCACATACTTTTCAAAGTGGAAATATGGTTCTCTTCTGATTGTGACCCTACTTCCAAAGCGGTTGCTTTACCTATCAAGGTTAGAGAATATGCAGGGGGTGACAACTAAAATGGCAAAGGGATGGAGCATATTCTTTATGAAAAAATGGGGAATTCGTCACTTTGGAGAGGGAAAAGCTGGTAATGGGGTGGTCTACAAAACAAAGGTGATAGGTGGTGTCTATGCAGGAATGATGTTTCCAAACACCATTGTCCTAGAAATAAGAGATATATTCAAAACCTATCGGCAGCAGAAGTGGAGACTGTACTGCTTCACTCAGTGTGTAATGAATTCATAGGATGTGTTGCCATGGGCGTGTAGAAGCAAATTGCATCAACAGTTCAAAGAAGAGTTAGACAAATTTATGATCAGGAGCTTCATAAGCAGGCTCTAAAAATAAGGGACAGTATTGTGCCCCTTTTAGTAGTCCTTACAAAACTTTTGTGGGTTTTGGGAGTTTAAGGGCCACAGTCACTGCTGTTATGAACTATGAACTAAACAAATAAATACCTTGCAATGTGCCAATTCGTGTGGTCATCGCACTGAGACTGAGGAATGAGCAGCACCAGCTGCACACATACCTTACTCATTTTGAAGGAAGAACACCAGGCTAGATGATCTCTTGCTGTAGTTCAACATCATGCTTGTGCTGTCTCAAATTAGAAATTGATTGTGTTATTACACAGCTTCATCCTCAGAAAGGGCTGTTTGGATGTCCTCAAAAGAGTTTTATTTACCTTGGAAAGCTAGCTACAAAAATGAATACACATCTAAAAATGTCTGAAGCTAATAAGCCTAACACTTAAAATTTCTAAATACTGTATGCTTATAGGAAGCAGATACACAGAGCTGAATCCATGGGCAAACTCAGTCTTGTCTCAATAAAGGGTAGTTAGAACAGGAAAGTTTGGAAGACAAGGTGTGCATTACATTATCTGTTGTAGTTAACGAGATAAAGTTAATTCTTGCTCTTTTTTCCTGGCTCCAGGAAGAAAGGGCAATCATGTGAAATGTTATTTCCATATTTAATGGATTTTTTTTTTTTCTGGTTTGGAAACTTGAGTTAAGAAGCTAAACTGAGTAAGAATTTTTGTGTTACAAGTCAAAAAACTTAAATGAATTCTCAATAAGCTGAAAATCCATGTGCAGACTACAGTGGTGTTGAATTTCAGAAAACTGGAAGAATCAGAGCATGCTTAATCATAATGTATTTTGTTTTGCAGCTTATTGATGCATTTGGACACAAGTCTAATATTAGTCTGGTGTTTGATTTTATGGAAACAGATTTAGAGGTAAGATTTTTAAAGACTTTTTTTATCTCAGTATCTTAAGATGGTTTATGAAAGTGCTGCTTTAACAGACTTATATTTGCCCATATTAGAAGGGGGACTGTTATGATGTCAGTTGATGAAAATCATGTCTTAAAAGTAGCTTGAGTAATTTCAGTTTTTATGAATTCTCATTTGATTAATTCCTTTACTTCTAAATACCTGCCAGCATGATTGTGTTTACTATGTTAGTTTTCAGACTCCAGTCAGAGGGTAGAACCTCTGGCATAGATCATTGCTTCTGGAGTGTAATTGATAAGCATAATACCAAACATGTTCATATAAGTGTGACACTAAAATATAGTAAGAGACAAGGTGGTAGTAAAATCACATGAATTTTAAACATGTTTTCAAATATAGCAATGCTAGGTAATTGCAAATTAGTACGTTCCAGAGACCGGCTTGCTGAAATTTATGTGAATGCAAGACTTAAAAAGGTTAGATTAGATTTTTGCTAATAGAGGTTAGTAATCAAGTAGAATTTTAGAGGATTCATTGTATTTACATAGTAGTTACTCCAAGTTTAGTGATTAGGAAGATTGGTGTACAAGGATGAAGTAAATATTCTTGAACTGTGTGATGCTGTGGTGTGCAGTCTTTAAATTGTATTGTGGTATCACTCAGGCTGCCGCTGAGACTGCTGCCTGTTGTGATTAAGCAGATGCTGCATACATGAAATTTGTGCAGTCTTAACTCCTCTGTAACTCAGCTTATGGAAGGCTATTACTGAGCAGGACAGTAGTATTAACAAACAAGCTTTGGGGTCTTCGCATAGAATTTTAATTTAAAAAATCAAGGAAATGTAGAAAACTGAAGCAGATTTCTTAAAATGCAGTCAAGTGGCATAATCTCTGGTCTTTTTGGAAATAGAAGAGGAAACCATTGTATTTACAAAGATTAGTTACTTAGGTTGCAATGAGAAAGAAGGAGTAAGTGGAAACATAATTTCTAGTTTACTGTCACATTTATCATTTGTATGTGTACATTTTGTCCTGGAAGTTTGGGTATCAACATGGAACTGAGATTAAATGCTAAACTTTTGTTTCCCACATATTTTTTTTTATTGTTGGGTTATGCAAAGTTCAATTAAGCTATCATTTCATTTCTGATCTCCAGAATTGGCCCATTTTTCTGGGAAAAGGGTAAAATGGTAGAGATTATATGACTGCCAATCTGAAGCCTGTCTCAAAGGCAGAAATAACTTTTGAGCTGAAAGAATGGAGATAAGGTTGTCTTGTGTGCTGAGCTTTACCTTGACTTCAACACTTTGCAGGTTATTATAAAGGATACAAGTATTGTGCTGACACAGTCTCACATCAAGGCATATATGCTGATGACACTTCAAGGATTAGAATATTTACATCAGCATTGGATTCTACACAGGGTAAGCATGTGCTAAATTGACAGCCTTCATCCTACAACAAAAATCACATTGGGTAGTTTAGAGTCTAAAGCCTAATGAGGGTAGTTTTGGAATCAAGACAGACAGTCTCATTCCATAAGCATTCATATTTGCTGTTTTGGAGAGATAATAGCTGTACCAGAAATGTTAAGATTTACTGATGTGGTTATGACTTTGATTCTTATATAAAAGGTTCTCCACTTAGATGTGACTTCAGTTATCACTGTGAACTGGTTCTGCCTGGGATTTTTTTCACAGCAGTTGAACTCTTGAAGCTTTCCCCTTTCTATAAGGCAGTGTCAAGGCTTTCTCTGTTTCTCACTCTGCCTTTGCCCTGATAAGTAGGCTTGGGTTAAGAAGTAAGGAGGAGAGACAGCTGGGGCAGCTGACCCAAGTTGTCCATAGGGATACTGCATGGCATGTCAGTGGTAAAAACTGGGGTAGAGGAAAAAGGGGGAATTTTGGTTTCCAAGCTCACTGCTGTTTGGAGACTGTGTATCGCTCTTGTTTTGGGGGGGTGATGAAGGATTTCCATGGCCTTGCTTGTTTGCTTTGATATTTAGTTCTTTCTTGTTAAACTGCCTTTATACTGCTCCTAGAGTTTTCCTGCTTTTGATCTTCTCTCCCCTATGCTGCTGAAGGTGGTGGGTAGGATGAGAATAGTAAGGGCAAATGGCTGTGTGGATATTTTTGGCTTGGTTACTGTTGGGTACTTGTGGGTTGACCTCTGTTGGCCTGAGGTCAACCCAAAATATACTGCCACTGTATTGAACTGTGTGACTTCTGTGATTTCTGCTGGTATTGGAAGCACTGGCCAGGTCTTTTTATTATTCACGTGGCAGCTATGCAGATAACATAACTGCTGGATCTGCAGAAAATGTAAAATTTACCAAGAGGCTTCTTTAAATTCTGCAAGTTAAATGTGTTAATATTCAAATGGATCTGTCACACTATGGTTTTCATGATGAGATAATTATTTCCTGGGGAGTTTAAATTTTTTCACTCATAATATAGGTTTTAGGATAGAATCAAATCTTTCATTTTACAACACTGTTATTGACATGTCTGCCAGGACATTCATTATATGTCTGTTTTTATCAATACTGGCAAATCTTATTATTTGTTTTCTATACTGACAGGATCTTAAACCAAATAACTTGTTGCTAGATGAAAATGGAGTTCTAAAATTGGCTGACTTTGGCTTGGCAAAATCTTTTGGAAGCCCAAACAGAGTTTATACACACCAGGTAGTAACAAGGTAAGATGCTGTATATTGTTTCTTACACATAGATTGTTTAGTTGCTTTATAGGTATTTCTTGGAATGTGTCATGTCAAATCAACATATTCAGAGTGGCATCTACTCATGTGATGTGACAAGAGCTGCCTAAAAAACCACAAGGAAGCATTGTTTAACAAAGTCTCCATAAGAACCGCTTCAGTATGCATCCGTGGGGGTGGTTCTCATATCTGTCAAAATTATACTCTTTTGAAATGTCTGGAAATAGTACGTATCTGCTTAGAAGCCTGGATTTTGGAGCAAGACAGCTGCTACTTTCTGCTAATCACAAGAACCTAGAACCATTTTTGGAGCTATTTGCAGTACCTATTTTGAGACACACTTGAATCAATTTAAATATTTACAAATGGTTTTTATGGCAAGCTTATTTAAGGTATGCTATAAAAAGCGGGGCCGCAAAATATATGAAGTTTTGCTTTCTGACTGCTGGGATGCTAAAACTATTCAGGCAAAGCTGGTTTAATACCTTTATTCAAAAGACAGAAATTCTACAGTGTCAAATGCAGTGTCATTTCATTAACTTGATTGTTCTTAGACAGTGTGAGTAGTTTTTTCAAAACAACAAGGCTCATTTTACATAAAAGTAGTCTCTATACTTAGGTCTGTTGATATGGAAATTCTTGGGAGATGGGAGGAATTCTGTCTTGCTGTGATTCATTCAACATAAAATTTTAAGAAAATTTCAATTTACCTGCATGTTAAGAGCTTACTTCCTTGCATGTGTACTGTTCAATACTTGTAATCAGGTCAGTTGACTGCAGTTAATCTTCGGTTGTACATGACCCTATGGTGAGCTGTACACAAATTTGTTCATTTTTTCTTAAACAAAACACTTTGCAGAATACAGCTCTTCAATGTCTGAAAAGTATATTAGAAGTATACTGGTAGAAATAATATCCTTCTTTTAGGTTTTGCATTGCTACAGTATGTAGCATTTGACATGAGCAAAGCCAGGTTGTTCTTCCAAAATGTGTTTTCTTTTCAGGTGGTACCGAGCTCCAGAACTATTGTTTGGGGCTAGAATGTATGGTGTTGGTGTTGATATGTGGGCTGTTGGTTGTATTTTAGCCGAATTGCTCCTCAGAGTAAGTATTCAAATGTAAGCATTTTGTATTTACCCTTCTGTTCACTACACCTTTTTGTGGGTTCTTCTTTCCTGCTAAAAGCAGGTGAACACAGGCCTGAAGAAACTATAGAAAATCTTGTTAACTGTAATGAAAGTGTTTTTTTGTAATAGACTGAGGCTTCATAAACATCAAAAGCAGCGGAAGTCTTTAAACATCTGGGTTAAAACGTTGCAATAAACTGTCACAGTCTTGCCTTGGGAGAGGTCAAGTAGGTAACTCTTGCAGTCCTCAGACACCTATTTTGGTTCACTACTGTTCTAGAAATGTAACATCACATATAGGTGCATGGGCTGTCCCTTTTACGCTGTTCCTCAGTTATAATCACCAGTACCTTAACTGTGGTTTTATTGAAAATGAATGGAAGACTAATGTTTTTCTAAGCTGTGGTTAGTTGACAATACTGGAATGAAGCTGAAGGTTAACATCAAGCTAATCCTATGGCATTCCTCAGTATGGTACACAAATGTAATGGTCCTGGAGTATTTTTCACTGAAGTGGAATGTTTATTATACAACTCTTTGGAGAATACATTAAAGTGTGAGGGGAGCAGTGGAGGGCTGGGATACAAACACTGCTGAAGACATGAAGTAGCCTGCAGTAGTACAGTTTATCTTCCATGACTAAGTGGCTTCTGCTTGGTTTCTGCACCTTTGAATGCTTTTGTGGCCATATCATAACCAGACTTCTGTATGAAAACACTTTGAAAGAAACCTTTTGCTTTGATTGGTCACACCAAATAGGTGTGCTGATTCAATTTGATTGGCAGATCAGATATGGAAATGTACAGTGGCTCTTTAAGCAGCACTGGTGATGGATACATAACTATGCATTAGACCTGCTAAAGCTGAATACATTTAAGCAAAGTTAGTAAGCCAATAATGCTTGAATTCAGTTGATTCTTTGGTTTGTCACAAAATAAAAAGTGTGTTATGGATCAGTTTTTATCACTGATATTTTGAAATGTATGTGTCACTTTTCAGGAAAATGCAGCTTCTGGGAGCTTTTTATGAAAGCAGTTTATATTCGAGTGGCTTTCATCATGCCACAAGTTGGTATGCTGTCTGCTAGGGATATCCATTATGGTTTTTCTGTCCTAATTAAATAAACACTGCCTCTAATTCTTCATAGATTTGCTTTGGTCACCAACTTTCTTTTTCCTTACATTGTGTGCTTGATATGTGAGCTAGAAGTTGGACTGGGCAGATATCCCCTTTTCAGGCTTTTGCTTTATTTAAATGACATGTGACACTGATTAGACAGCTTTCTATCCCAGTGGGCCTCTACTCTCCCTCATGTTTTCATTTAGTTTCATAAGGCTAACTTGTGTAATCCAGTTATGATTCACTTTAAATATCTAGAAAAGCTACCTCCAGAGAACAGGTGGTGAAAAGATCACCACAACCAACTGACTTTAGGCTGACAACTGAGATATAAAATCTTTGCTGTGTTTAGTACATTTTACATTAATGTGGTTGTGATTAAACATAATCTTATGTTTAAGCTGTCTGCTGTCAAGCCAATGATACCAAGCCTGGCTTTAGGAAACATTCAGAATCTATTTGAGCATAAATAGAATGCCTCAAATATCCAGTGTACCTCTTTGTGGGGAGGTGGTATACAGAGGGCTTTTGCCTTGCACTTACGCAGTATCAGTCAAATTTTTTTTTTCTAAAATTGAAGTTCAGAAGTTAATTCAATCAAATGCCATGTCCTTCTTCCAGGTTCCTTTTTTGCCTGGAGACTCTGATCTTGACCAGCTGACAAGGATATTTGAAACACTGGGCACTCCAACAGAAGAACAATGGCCTGTGAGTAATTTTGTTTAACAAACTGATACTGGTTTTACTTGATACTCTCTATTTTAGCTCTTGAAATTAAATGATTATTCCAGAATACTTGAGTAGATTTTTCAGAAGACAAATTGCTTCATCTCATGAAGCAGCTGAGATTTGTTGTTTCTCTTGGCAAACCTCTGGTCAACAGTAACAGTATCAACACTTCTTGATTTCCTTTCTGTGTGCACAGTTTCACATGGTTACTGGTGTGAGATTCTTGCTGCTGTTTAATGTTTTTGAGGTACTTATTTAATTAGCATGCTTTAACCTGGAATGCTTTAATCACTTTCAGAAGCAGGAACCATTTGTAGGGGCCTAAGTTGGCCCTGGTAAATTATAGTTTGATGATAGTAAAAAACAAAGACCAACACCTTTAAGGATAAACAATTTGCCTCAACAATGACCCCGAAACAAATAAAATTAGTAGTACAATTTTCTCTGAGATGACAGCAAATTAACACCAGGCCAAACTTACTGTCAGGTCACACAATGACCTACCTAACCATGGTTATTAAACAGAGTGAGAGGAAGTGGGATATAATGTCTGATGAGCTATTTGTGCCAGCTACCATGCACAGGGAGTCCAGAATTCCCTGATCAGGATTTTGTCATTGAGTTGTGGAAGCACTCACTGGACTTGTTCACCTCTGCTCCCTCTCCATGCAGCTTTTCCTTACTGTAAATGGTGCTGGAATGCTATGGTATGTGATCATGAAATGGAGCTGTAGCCAAATGGAGAACTGCTGTGTGAGGCCCTGCTAGGCCTCCACAATTCTGATATTTCTTGAGTGTTCTGAATGGAATGCATGAAGGTTTTTGCAATGACATTTCTGCTTCCTTTGGAGAGGAAAATTTAAGATAAAGTCGGGAAAAGAGAGAATAAGAGATTAGTTAACACAACGAAGACGACACATCCCCAAGTTCATGTCCAAACATGTACATTTTAATAATTGCAACCTTTATTATCAAGATCATAACTGATTGAACACTTTTTTGACTTTGTCCAAGTAAAATATTAATACAAACTTGAAGTGTGACAACTAAGGCTTTAAATACTTAAAACACTACAAAATCATTATGTTTGTGTAATCATCTGTGTAATTTTTATACTGGAATGTGAACACAATGGGGTTGATTTCATACCTAGAGGACAAAAAAGTATGCAGCTAATTTTTTGTTTAACTGCTTGGTGCATATTTTCGTTCCCTCCTCCCGTTGCCCATATAAAGTTGCAGTTGTGCATTTAAAATCAAAATGGACATGGTTCAGATAACATCTATTAATATAGAGAAAGTGAAGACTGACTGTTTTGAAAATGCTTTTCCTCTTGCCATGTCAGCTCATTAAAGGAGGTTTTATTTCATTTTTCTGACCCAATCTAAAATTCTTTCATGCTTCCTTTAGCAGTTTTTCCTTTTGGACTGGTCACAACTAAAGCAAGGGAAGGACAGATCATTTGGAAAGTTGTTTCACACTGTAACAGTTATTTTAAAAAAAGCTTTTATGACCTTCTATTCCTATAGTTATTTAATTCCAGTGACCAAGTAGTAGCAACATGTTTTGAAAGATGAGATGCTTCTGGTGAAAGAACCATATTCAGTTCACTTTCTGTGAAAAGCTGAACTCTTTCTAGGGGAAAAACATATATTCTGTTTTTGATCTTTGTAGGGGATGACAAGTCTTCCAGATTATGTCACATTTAAGCCATTCCCTGGAATGCCACTTCAGCATATCTTCAGTGCAGCTGGTGATGATCTGCTCAGTCTTCTTCAAGGCTTTTTCACGTTTAATCCTTCCACTAGAGTAACAGCTACTCAGGTATAGTACACTTGCGTTATCTCCTAATGTTCATTAAACCACTGTTAATATCAGATAAATGTGTTTTGAAGCCAGTTAGCTATGTTTGAAATGAAACATCACATGGATTACTAGAAACATAATCCCAGTGTTTTATAGAGAGAACGGTGAAAGGCGTGGATAGTACTAAGTGATCATCTCCATTCCCAGTGTAGAGTCAAGGTAGAGAGCTAAAATGTGTAAGAGCCATGACCTTCTGATAGTCATATTTGACATGGTGAATTCAGTCACCTAAAACTTGAAGGTCAAGTCTTAACACAGCTTTTCTTATTCCCTGGGTTTGGAAGGTTTTTCTCCTTGCTTCATCCTGTCTCTTCTTCAATGTCTTTTAAACTTTTATGGTACTTCTTAAACATAAAGTTCCGTGGTGATTAAACAGTCATTCTTATCTAATTCTCCTTTTCCGTGATACTTTCAATTTCCATGATGGGTGGAAATGGAGGACTTGGAAGAAAAATCTTGCAGAATGTTCTAGTTTGCAATTCTGATTTCTGTGATGAGGAGGATACAGCAGTTGGCAGTTAAAAGTGTATTTCTGTCACTTTACACTGTTAGGGAACATGCAAGAAACCTCTGTCCCCATTGGGCCAGGACTCCCTCATTGCTGGTTACATTTGAATTCAGGAGATCAGTTCATGTGTTATGTATCTTTTTACTAGAAGACTTTTCAGAGCACATTCAGGCTGTTTTGGCCACCATCTTTAAGAACATTCACTGTAAATTTCCAGATAATTACTTCTGCTATGCTTGAGACATCTCTGTGGTATTTGATACGTATGAAGTAATTTTTCAGGTCATATTATGGGATAGTGACTTGAATATATATTACTTTTCTAGTCTAAACCTTTTATTGACAATGCCACAGTTTAAGACAGAAAACAACTTGCGCTTATTGTATTGGTTTGATTTATTGCTGACATTGAGTATAATGTAATTGGCACAAGAAATTATTACCTAAGAGACAGTCACTTTTTGTTAACCACGCTTCATAGTTCCAAAAATTTAAAGTAAGGTATATAAATTCCACCACATGAAACCAATCTTGCTGACTAATGTTTGTCTTCTGCTCTGATAGGAGCGATGTCTTTCTCACAGTTTACAGGGTAGAAACAGGACAGTTAAAGAAAAATGAGGGAAAGACCCATCTTAAAAACTAACAAAACAGCTGGTGTCTAGATCATGAATCTGATCAAGACTTCAGAAATATTCTGTTAATTTTTCTTTATTCCTACTTTTTTTTATCCTCATCTTATCTGATCTGTCTACTCAGAATGTAAGCTTCAGAGTTAGAAGCCGTTTATACAAGACTTCTTACAAAATAATCTAGTTTTGTCAGGATATCTGAGCACTGGTTAAAAATAGGAGTATATAATTATCCCTTGCTTTACAGATCCATGTAGGGGGGATAGTAGTTTTGAACACACTCTTTATTTGCCCTGAGGCCGCTCTGTAGTATAAAGGTGTTAAAGTAGTTTTTAAGTCCCAGGTAAAAGTGCTTGGTTTCACTATAACTTCTTTCTAAATTACACTTCATACTAATTACTTGTTTCTTTTTCTTTGATTATCATTTAGGCATTGAAACAGAAGTATTTCAGTAACCGACCAGGACCCACTCCAGGAAATCAGCTGCCAAGACCCAACTGTCCTGCTGAAGCTGCAAAGGAGCAACAAAATGCACTTTTAAATTTAAAAAGGAAAAGAACAGAAGGAATAGATCAAGGTAACTTCGTATTATGTCACCACTTTTAAATAGGAGTTATGTGCTCAGGGAGAATGGGATGCTTCCAGTGTTTTAGAAACAAAACTCTCAAAATGAACTAATTCCCTGAGCACTGGCTGAAGCCCTTTAATGATATATGGTTTGGAGTCAGAATTACTAATACCTGTGTTCTAACAGAATTAGCACAGAAAAGACTGATGCTTAAGAGTCTATTAGAAGAAATAACCGTATTCCATTAATTCTGTAATGGAGAGTGGTACTCTCCAGTAAATTATAGGCTATTATTGTAGCTCTCGCACGCTGCGGTCACTTGGGGCGAAGGGACGCCGGCTAGCTACTCCCTGGATGGCCGCAGAGGGTGCTACAAGACTGGCCACTCCCAGGCTCTCACTGAGACTGCCCAGGTAGCGGTGACAGTTGCGGCGTGGGTGTCGCAGGCTGGTGTGAGGTACGAGGTCCCGAGATAAAGGAACGAAAGAAGGAACACTTGTGTAGGTTCCAAGGAAACTTTATTCCAAGGAGGGTCAGGGGAGAAGGGTCTGGCTAACTCTTATAAAGAGAGTGGGCGTGGGGGGAAGAGACATGAGGGAACCAATAGGTGAAGGCAAAAGAAGGCTTATGTAACACAAAAGGCCCAATGAGAAACACATGGGGGAGGGAGGAAGCCTTGAGGACAAATCAGGAGCTATACTGGGGATGAGTGACATGGAAGTCTCTCAAAAAAAGGAGGGGGGTCACAATGACAGACAGGGGCAGGAGGCAGCACCATGGGGATTGACACAACCATATGAGGGCATGAAGGGAGGAACAAGGCATCACTCACTTTGATGAGCAGGCCAGTGGCGGGAAAAACAGGGGAAAAACAACTTTGGAACAAACCATCGTGAGGGGTTTACATGGGGGGGAAAAGGAACAAACCATTTCTTAAACTAATAAAGAAGAATTAATTTTCACAACAACTTCAACTTAAAACACGCAACACCACATATTATGATGAACTTTTTTTTTTTTTTTTCTGAGACATCTTAGGTGGAAGTAATTTAACTTTACACCACTTAAGAAAAGGGAGAGAGGGAGTCTGAGACGTAACATGATATTCTGTGAAATGACAGGCTGGAGAGGATAGATCAGATTCAGAGGAGAGATTTTTGCTTACTCTGTCTTAAGGTATGGAAGTTAACTTTTAAGACCACTCTGGGTCAAGAACATTAAGCACATTTCTGTGACCCACCTCCAGTCTTCTCCAGACAGCAGGTATTTCATACCTTTGTGGCAACACAAGTGCTTAGTACTCAAGAACTGTATCTGACACTAAATTACTCAGGCCTTCTATTAGGGAGGCAAATACTATTTCTAAACTAGGAGTTGGTCTTCTTAACATCTGCAATATGCTAGATAGCATCTGTCAGGTTAGCATCAGCTCTTTGTTATTGCCGGTATGAGACTCAGTTTTAATATGACTGATATTTTTTTGAATGGAGCTACTTCAATAAAACTATTTTCTCTTGAGTTCAGAGAGAAATCTCCCCACGGTTCACCTTGCTTTTTAGGCATTTTGAATTGTTGTTTCTAAGTCTTCATCAAATTAGAAGTAAAATACATTTGGTTCACTACTGTAAGTTTTCAGTCTCAAAAACAAGAGTGATCAGTTGCACACTGTTTCCTGACCCCAGTACCATGGGTCTCCTGGCTTGTGGGAATTTGTCAAGTTACAATAGCATAGACAATTAATTTAAGCATTTTAGCTCCTCTTCCAAAGATCATGTGAGGGTTTGTGATAAGTGTTTGGGGGTATATGCCCTAAAATACACCTGTTAACTAAAGGATGTGAAAAAGAGAGAAATGCCTTCTTGAGTTCTGTGACTTAATGATTTGAATTTGTGCATTTGACAAAGAGCAGAGTTTCCAGAGTTGTATCAAGTTAGAACAACAGTTGCTTTGACATCTTTCCATGCTTCTGTGTAAATGCTTGGAGTTTTGAGATTGGCTAGAAATGAGGCAGTAAGGTAGTCAGCATTACTTTTTGGGACCTTTGAGTATTGGTATAAAAAGCAATATAATTTCTACCAGCTGGAAATGGAGACATGATGTATTTTCTAATGTGGATTTTCCATAAGGTTCTGTTACTGCCTTAGCTGGGCTGACAGATCTAGAAGGCTTCTATCCAAAGGTAGTTCCTCTAGTGCCAGCAAATGTTAAAGGAGAGAGCCAATGATAGAGCTAGCAAATCTGCTGTCCTGGATTTCATTTGCTCTTCTTACATGGCATTACCATTTAAATTTAAAATCTGAATAGTGATTTGGAAGAATAATCCTCTAGTATTGGTTTAAATAAAAACTTGAAGGACAACATTGCTGTAGGGGGTGGAAATGTGTGAGTGTAATTTCCAAGAAAAATAAGTTGTATTCCCTAAAATTCTTAGAAAGGCCCTGCATCCTGCAGAGCACATTTCTTTCCCCTAGCCCTGTTGAGGTAGCACTCCAGAACTTGGCAGAATAAACTGAGTGCTTGCTTCCTCTTCAAAAATACTGGCACCAGGAGCTGACTGCTGGGATAAAGATTCATGACATTGCCGTATGTGCTGCTTTTCCGCAAGAACAAATCCCTGAAGCCTGTGAGGTGTGTTCACCAAATCTAAGTAATTCTTAGAAAACAGCCTCTATTCTCAGGGGAAGACTACCACTAGATGGATGACTGCCTGTAATAAGTATGAAACATACATACTTTGTATCTACTGCTACCACTTACTTCTGATCATTAAGGTTTTGGAAACACTGATTCTATGATGACATAACTGCCCATCTTCTCTGTCACTTAACCAAAAGCAGTAATGCTTCCCCAGAATGCCTGTTTCTGTCCTATTAATATGCATTCCTACAGAGCTGTAGCTACACAAAACAGGGACTATAAAGAATGGTGCACTAAAGTTTTTCCTATGTTAATTAAGCATAAGGATTCTGATATCAAAACTATTGATTTGGAAAAAAACCCCAAAAACATTCTAATCATATTTAAGTTTAAGAATTTGTCCTAGACTTGACAGCACAAAAGAAAAATCCTTTAGAGTGTGTGTGGTGGGACAGGTTTAAGCCTTAGAACAGCTTGCTTTTCTTCGGTTTCAAAGTAGAGTTAGTTGATTAGCTTTTCATATCAACAGTTAGGTTTTTGTATGAACAAAGAGAAATATTTGCATGTATCCTAAATGCAATTAAAACTTAATTACAGAATTTATGACTTTTGGAATATACATTCTGATTCAGGTGACCTTTGATTCTAGCACTCTGTCATAGATTTGTTAGAAAATGTCATCATGTACTGCCAATGTCATAAACAGCATTCTGCAATTAAGAGTAGGAGGGGGCCTTGAGGAGGGGGCTAGACCTGTATACTTTGCTAACAACGTGATTTACATTTTTCAGGATTACCAAAAAAACTGATTTTTTGATTGCTGTGATGAGTGAAAATGCCTTGTGTCCCAGGCATTGATAAAACACTGTAATCGTCGCTGGATGTTTTTTTCATATTTTCATATGTAAAATATGAATTTTATTATTTCCTTATGGACAGAGAAGTTTAATTAATCCTTCTTTTTACAATAAAATTATTATTGAGAAAAACGATTATCTGGTTTGCTGTCTTGTCCTTTGAGTCATGCTCTGAGACAATAACTGTCAAAACTGCTTGCAGGCTACAAGTGTACACAGACTAATTTTGCAGAATCTCTGTGCTGAATCACATGCTATTCTGTTCAGATATATATCCTAAGGGGGAAATGTTACTAGAAGTAACATACTTGTCTCACATGCAGCTTAGATAAACATATGACTGTCTTCTAGACCTATAATAAAAATGTAAGGAAAGGGTAGGATATGTTTTTGTTCCAGTTAGTAGGATCAAGTATTAACAAACAAGTTTGAATATGTTCTCTCAGCAGTCATGTATTAAGACTTCTGCAAAGACACATCCACTGCCTTGAAAACAGTGTGAAGTGCAGATTTAATGTGAAATGTTTGGAGGGTTTTTTTTTCCTATTCCCATCTTGCAGGAGAAGTTACCTGAGAAAATACAAATACTGTTTCCTGCAAAGCCTTGAAGATTGCAGTGAGAGACAGAGGAGGAAGATCCAGCTGGGGAAACTACACTACACTAGTCATCCTGTCAGCCTGTATCTGTAGAACAGCTCATAGGGCAGACACTGGACTCAGCTTTGCCTGAATTCCAGCATGGAGAGGTAGCAGAGTTTCTGCTGGGTAACTGAACTTCTGCAATGGAGAGAACCAAACTTGCATATGCTGTTGCTGCATCTTAACTGTGTGCCTGCCTGCTGTTGTACAGTGTATCTCAGGGATACCTGCTGAGCCACTGTCATCATTCTGCCTTTGAACCACATTCACCATTCTCTTTGCTAGTTTTGTGGCAAGTATAGTAGTGCAAGACTTTGAGGCTTGTAGAGGAACAGCAGTCATCATCTTGCTCGTGTGTTCCTTCCTTTTGCTGCTACTTGAGCTAATGTAAAGCATTAGGCCTTGTACGGGAGAAGAGTTGGTATTTTCCCAGTACTGTGTTCTCTATTGGTTGTTCGCAGTTGAAAAGTAAACAGATTTCCTAGGATCTAATTGAGGGTGTAGAAAAAAGTTTATCCATTAACATTAGTCGTGTAAGTTTTTATTGTCTGTTTAATCAAACATCCTTTCATTGCAGGCTAGAGGATTAAGATAACTATAGTCCTACTTCTCACTGGCACAGGTTCAGAAATACGTTTATCAGAATAGGGAAGAGGGATTTAGGAGTACTGTAGACTTCTTTCCATTTACTTATCTAGTGTATCTTTCTAACTGGTCCTAAAAGCCTGGAAACCTTCAACCCCTAAAACTGTCACTGTCATGCACTGTCACTGCATTTTTCAGTGACTATCTTAAGTATTCTGTCAGTTCGGCTTTGGGAAAGAAACAACGTTTCCTGCTTGTAAAAAAGCTGTATCTGTCTAGACAATACCCCTCCCTGAAGGAAACCTTTTCCACTAGAACAAGTAGCAAGCTTCTAAGCTCCTACTGGCAAAAGTTGTAGAGTAGGTACCGAATTAGATAGGTAGTCTGTATATTACTGTACACAGCGTGGTTACTATACTCTGTAAGAGCAGGCTTGAAGCGTGAGGTGCTAAGGCCTGAGCAGCAGGCCTCAGCCAGAGCTGACTTACAAGATGAATCCTGGGCATTATGTGACTAACAGTGTTGTTTAGCTAAAAACAAATTATTGAGATGCTTATGCTAGCTGTTTGTCGCCAAACGGGCTGCTTAAGAAACTTTCACATCTTGTGCAACTGTCTGCAAGAAATGTATCATTTTAGGGAACTTTCCCACCAGGCATTAATAGAGGCTTGTTTGCAGGGTGTTTTAGGGAAAACCCTCCCTGCTAAGACCTGGCCTCAGGCCATGCTCTGCCTCCAGCTGGGAGGGAAGTATGCCATCAGATGCAGGTGCTTCTGTACTAAAAATATAATCAAGCAACTTTGACTTGCTGATCTGGGCCTATAAAAGCTGGATCCCCTTTCAGGGTGCATTTGGAGACCTCATCTACAAGTGGATACACCAAGTAGGATTCTCCCAATTGCCAGGAAGGGTTCTCCAGGTCGTCACTGCAAAATGGGGCTCCCCAGCAATTTCTTATTCTGGATGATGGTAAAGTATTTAGGCAATTGGTGATATATCATTCTAAATCCTTTCTCTTGTGTAGTAATGATGAGGTGCATTACCTTGCTTATTTTTGCATGTTGCTTAAGCTGACCACGTAGTTGCTTTATTTAATGTATCATTTTACTGTTGTGTTGCCTTAGTACTCATAGTAAAATAAGATCATTCTTTCCATTGGTGTCTGTGTCATTTAAATTGCCCCCATCAACTGGCAAAACAAAGTGAGAGGATATTTTGTGACTAAGACTTGTATGCATGTATGCCACAGCAGATGCCCACAAAATGCTATTTTTTATATAATACAAGTTCAGGAGCTGTTTCTCTCCAGATCCCACGCAGCAGTTTGGACTGTGCTCTGTATGTACAGTTGGGCCCTGTTCTATACCATGGGTGTGTGCAGTAAGTTGTGTTTTCAGTTGAGTTCAGCTGAATTGTTTCAGTTGAATGGAGCTGAGTGAAGCTACCTGTGTCAGGAACTAAAACTGCCTTGCTCTTAGTGATGGTGTGCACAGATAAAATGTATGTGCATCACAGAATAAGATAAGATTAGAGAAAGGATCAGCACAACATTTTTTTCCTTCATCTCAGGCTTTTGGATGGTTTGATTTAACTTTTGTAACAGGTCAGAACTCTGGAAGAAATATTTGGGATTTGTGGTGAATATAATATGCAGTCACACAACTAGTCATCAAAATACTGTTTAATTTGTGACTTGATTAGTTTGTAAGCTTTATATCATGTTAATCATGCTTCAGTATTGACAGTCTGTCTCTAATCACAGCATCTTACTGAATATGCAGCTGCTGCAATCTATTTAGCTTCTGTTCAGAACCATAACAATCAACCACAGTTTGTCTGGAACACGCAATGTGCACGCTTATGCAAAACCCTCAGTTGTACACCTGAGCAAACAGGAACATAATGTAAATGCCTTGCAACGTTTCTTCTGCTTTTACCATCTTTTTATCATGAGTTACTGCTGTTTCTTCCTGAAAGGTTAAATCTCCTCTTTGCAAACGTTATGGCTTTTACCTAGAGACTTGATGGAATTTGAGTGACTTTTATGCATTGTACTGCTATTGTTTGTAATTGAACAAGAATGTTGTCACTATAATTGAACTACAATGTTGTTTTCTTCTTCCACTTTGTTGCTACAATAAATGAGCACTGTATGAGCACACCTTGAGCACACAGAAAGGTGCTCTCTGTTTTAAACAAAACTGATTTCCTTTTCTTGTAGATGCCAGGATTTCTTGTGGTGGCATGGAGAACAAGGACTGCTAGCTATCTCATCCTCCTCTGTCTCCCTGGTTCTTGATAAATGACAATGCTGATCCCGGAAGCCTTTTTGTTTCAGCAAAGAAGGTTCAGAGTTGAGTTGTTACATACAGTTACTCTTTTGCATTTTTGGTATTTTTCTGTACATGGTGTGGCCTTGATGTGCTCCAGGCAGCACTGCCAATTCTTTGTTTTTACCAGTCATTCTTGGCTTTTGTTACTGTTCTTGTTCTCTTGAATTATTGCATGTGCACTGCTCACTTAGCCATTTCTTCTGCTGCTCAAATGTTTATGCTCCATGTGCTCCAGTGTAATGATTCTTTTATGGAAAATGTTTCACCTGTGGCCTTTTAATACTGCAAGAGAAGGAAGGGGTCATTACAAAAGAGGCTATCATTGCGTCTGTTTTTCTTTTAATCTCTCTCCTCCCCCTCACATTTTATACTCAGAAATGTCAGCTTTGTCTCTGAGTTAAGCTATTCTCTCCACAAGCCTGTAATAAAATTACAGGATAAACCACAGATAGGTCTCCATATGGTTTATCAAGTTGAGACAGAAAAACTTCTCAGAAAACTAATCTGAGTGCTTTGAACACTTTTGGCAGGCTATATTTTGACACACACCTTGCTGGTATCCAGTAGTGTGAGTGGTTCTGGAAAAGACATGCACGGCTGCAATCTCTTTTGGCTACAAAACAGCACTGCCTAGGAAA